CAAAATTATAATATCACTTTAACAAAATTAGATTACTCTCGAAGACCGTTTGAATTCCTGTAGAGATTTATGAAATAAAAATTAAATTCATTTTTTTTATCAAAATTCGCTAATAATAAAATTTTTGCAAGTCAATTTTCTTTTATTTGACAATGTTAGCATATATCTTAATAATAAAAAATATTTAAAAGGGATTTTTTATTTATAAAACTTTACTTAAAAACAAAAAAATCAGATAAACTACTTAAATTAGCAACTTGAAAATAGTTAATTAAAAAAAGGATTGGTAATTAATTTAATAAACAATTAAAATGTGATTGTTGAAAATCCAATAATTTTGTTTTACATAATAACAATTATAATTAAGTTATATTATAAAAATAACTTACGCAAAATAACGTAAAAAACTGAATTTTTTTTGGCTTTTTAATTTTTTTTAAATTTACTTGTTGTTTTAAATATTATATTTTTAAAATTCATGATTATAAAATTATTTTTAATGTTAGGGTTATATGTGAATAGTATCACTATTTAAATATAATTAAATAACATTAATTTAAGTTTTTTTATTAGATAGAAATTATTATTTAACCATGAAAAATCGAAACAAATAATATATTGATTTATAAGATGAAGAATTCAAAAAATAGTACGCCGAAGATGAATATGAACTTAATCTCACGATACTAACCATCTTATATAGTGTATTATTTGCATTATACTTGTTAGATCACTTGTTTACTAGTTGCACCAACAAAGTTAACTTCCATGATCTTGAAAAAGATCATCGTAGATGTGAGTTAATGTTATATTTGATTCATTTGAAGCGATGTTGTGATATTATTTGCATGAGACTTGACGCCTTCATCAAATTGTGTCATTGATTAAGAGTAATTAATGTCATCAAAGATGCATTTAGGTCGATAGTTAAAGAACGCGTTGCCTAATTTTTACATATTTTAGGTCATAATGTTCAAAATTGTACCATGTCATCGCTTGAGTGAGATAGTGAATCGATATTTTCATAACATGTTGAATGTGATAATTGATTTGGAAGATAAATTTTTTGTTCAACCATCTGAAAGGCAAGTGCAACCACACATTTATCACAATCCTAGATTTTATCCTTATTTTTAAGAATTGTCTTGGATTTTATCTAGGGATGGCAAAACGGGCTAGGCCCGGCGGGCTATGGCGGGGCGGGTTGGTGTTTTCAGCCCACCAGCCCGCTTTGACCCGTCCCGCCAAGCCCGTCAACCCGTCGGGCCAACCCGCGGGACGGGGCGGGCCAGCCCGCGGCTTGCCTAATTAATAAAAAAATATTTTTTTATTATAATAAAATTAATTATAAAGATAATATATAAAGTTAAAAATTTTAAAAAGAGAATTAAAAAAGTTTAATTTTCACAGAAAATATTCTCCTTCCTGAAATATAACTTTCTCTCCTTCTTTATCCTGATAATATTTGTCCTTATTACTTGAATTAAAGGTATACTTATTTATCTTAAGCACTGATTATATTTATCCTTATTACTTGAATTAAAGGTATAAGAATTACTCAACCAAGAATAATATGAAGTTTTATCAAATAAAAAAGATATAGGTATTTGAATTTTTCAATATAAAAAATATAAATTTTATAAGTTTAACGTTATTTATATATATATATATATTTGTTATTATTTATTATTATGTAAATTTTATTATTGTTCTAAATTATAATTTCTTAAAATAATGTATTGATTTATATTATTAAATTGAAATAAAAATATATATATATATATATATATATATATATATATATTGAATTATTGACAAACAAATAATAATCTTATTATTAAATTTATTAAAAAAATTATTTTAAAAAATTTATTTTTTTCTAAATTATGGCGGGTCAGCCTGCCAACCCGCCTCTGGCGGGACGGGCCAAGGTCTACGACCGTCATGACTATATCGAGTCGAGTCGCCCGCCCGCTTTGGCGGGCCAAAGGCGAGGCGGGCCAAAACGGGGCGGGTTGGCCCGTTTTGCCATCCCTAATTTTATCCTTATTTTTAAGAATTGTCTTGGAATGATGATGGAACACATGTTTGCATTAAAGTAACGCGATCACATGCTCCTCATTTTCGGAATAAAAAGAATTGATCAACCTAAAATGTTTTTGCAGTTTGGGATTTCGACATGAAATTCACATATGTGCTAGTCGAATGAGAAAGTATTCGTAAAGAGGTCCGACAAATCCTCAATAATTATTCATTCTTCATTGATAAATGTTATCAAGAGGACTTTCAGTGTGTTGATAAATGTTAGAGAAAGTCGACCGAGAATTACAAGAAGCCCAGGATAAGTCTGCAACATAACTTCAACAGGAGGATTATAAAGTTGAGACGACGTTGGGAACACTTTCTACGTTGCCAAACCGATGTAGAAAGTGTTTTTTTTTCATTCAAAAATTCATTTAAGTTAAAGAATTGTCACTGACAGAATTCAAACCTAGTACCTTAGAGTTGAAAGTTGATACTCTTAAAACTTACAAATAAATTATATTTATATACAAATAAATGTATATCCATGTAAATATATAAATATAAAATATATAAATATATATTTATATATTTATATATTTATATATTTATATGTTGGATGTGAGGGCGCGCTCGAGGATGAAAGTGAGATTGACTATCACTTGAGCGAAAATACCTTAAAGCTCACTAAAATTCACTCGCGCAAGCGAAAATATATCGTTTGAGCGAAAATTGGTATTTTTCGCTTGAGCGAATAATGCATTTCCTAAATTTATTTTATATCATTATATAAATAAATTATAAAGATTATATTCTGTCATTAAATTACAAACCTATATAAAGATACCCATTCACATATTTGACCTCAAATTTTGAAAACCCACTCGACACATACTTTCATCTTTGCCCTCAAATTACACACAGTTTCGGTTAATCTATTAAGTTTAATGAGAAAATTTATTGTGTTTATGGCTAATTTTTGTTTCCTTTTTTTGCTCTGCTTATTTGATCAAGAATCAGTATATAAGCTTGTTTCTTTATGTTTCTTGTTTAAAATTGTATTGCATTTTTTACATGTAACATCTATGTCTTCCTCATCTTCTAATTTCTACTTAATTTATCTATTGTACCTCACAATGATAATTTGATCATTACACTAAAAATACTATTATTCAATTATTTTATATTAATCACATCAACTACAATAAATCCACTTAAATCCCTTCAAATCCATTATTTTTATCTCAATCCAAATAATCCTACAAATTCACTCTCTCGAATCTCCATCCCAATTTAACACAAACTTAGTCAATTGAGATACAAAGTCATGGGATTATTAAATTACCGATTAACCTAATTTATAAAAAGTTATAAATATATATATATATAAAAGATGGTTGACCAATTGAATTCAAATTTTATTTTATTTGTTATTATAATAAAGTTTAAAATAATAAATAAGATTAAAATTTGTATATATGCTATAAATATTATGAATGTCACTTTTAATTATATTTTAATTTTTTCTTAATCATATATAATACATTTAATATAATATTATATTTGTTCTAATATGATTGATGAGTCTCATATTCTTTAGAAATTAAGATAAATGATAGTTCATATACGTTTTTTTTAACCCATCGAGACACCTTTTAAGAATAAAACCATGACGAATTATAACTTCAAAACTAACAATATCTCAAACATGAAAATTGATCGTAATGATAACGAATATGAGGTCAAAACAATATTATTCTTAAAAGGAACACTAACGTTTATCACGAGGTCAAGATTAGAATGTCGCTCTACTCATACCTTTTAGTCTCGATTAGAATATTTATGCTCATGAGTCTCAATTTTTTAATAGTCGAGATTAATAATAATTTATATATATCATAATCGTTTAATCTCATTGATATTTTAAGGACAAAAACGTATCGAATTAGAGTTCTAAAGCGGATCATATTTCAAATATAAGAATTGACACAACGATATTATCATAAGAGACATAACATCGATATATTCTAATTTCTAAGCGAAACACCATCTAAATTTATCTAAAGCAACAAATTATCTATATAGACAAATAAGTATTGTCCTAAATAAAAATAAAATCAATACTAAAATAAAATAATCAACATCAAAATGTTTTTATTCTTACATGAAACATTATCTAAATTTATCTTAGAAGAACAAATTATTTCTATATATAAAAATAAGTCTTATCCTAAATAAAAATAAAAATAATATTAAAATAAAATAATTAATATCAAAATAAAATCCCAAAAAATACTTTGGATACATTTTATAAATATACATTGATTTTTCTTATAAAACATTATATTAAAATTTTAATTATTTTCATTATAAAAATAATTAAATTTATTTATATAAATTAAATATTAACGTATATAGTTTTAATTAAAAATTGTAATTTCATGAAATATTAAATAAATTTTGAATAATATGAAAAAAATGATTTTATTCTATATAATATTTAAAAACATACACATATAAAATTAATTAATAATTAAAAATTTAATAATTTTAGTTATAGAACAGTGATAATTAAAAATTTAATAAAATAATTAATAATATATACAAATTAAATAAAATATTTTAACTATATTAACCTTTATCATAATTGTTATATTACTCTTAAATATATTACATCAAAAAATAAGGATCATATCTATTATGACAGTTTAGAAGTTCTGTCATGACGTAATGTTACATTAATTATTATCTGATTTTTCTTCAATTTTATTTAAGATACCGAATTAATAGCTCCAATGTGAAAAGGTTAAATAAGGTTAAATAAGCCATCGCCATCCACCTAAATAATTCTCCACATATTGTGATAGAAAAATATCCTCACTTTCTTGAAAACCAGACCAAGCTAAACAGTGGCTACGATTTCGCCCTAGCCAAGCATCTCACATCGATCGCGATTCCACCGTCGGAATCTGGAAGCGATGTCAACCTCGAGCCAGCACCAGTTCCGATACACTCAAACCCCATCGAAGGTGCTGCACCTTCGCAACCTCCCCTGGGAATGCTCCGAGGAGGAGCTCAAAGAGCTCTGCAAACCCTTCGGTAAGATCGTCAACACCAAGTGCAATGTCGGCGCCAATCGCAACCAGGCTTTTGTTGAATTCGTAACTCTCTCTTTCCTCTATCTCTTGCTATTGTTATCAATCGTTCTTAATTTTAGGGTTTAAACCGTGCATTTGTTGATTCGCGCGAACTTCTGCTCTGTGCAACCTTCTCGGGCATTTAGAATCCTTGACGTTTGTTCGCTATCGTATTTTATTTACATTTTGCCTTAGGGTATCAGAATTAGGCATTTCGTTTATATCTTTTTTGCTCCTTTTCACTGGTTTTACTTTCGAATAAAATTCGTCGATTATTATTATTTTTTTAAATTACGGCTTCGAGTAACCTACGGATGGGCACTGGCAATTGCATCCATATATACAGTGTCGTCCATGCATAAATTTAACCAATATGCCCAATTACACTGGATTGGGCAAAATGTTTGGATGATTTATAAAAACAAACCGTTGATAATTTCTTAAACCAAGAGTTAGGATGTTAATAGTTTTTATAAGGAGTGAAATTTTAGAGAATTTTTATGACAAGGAAGAAAAATATGTTCATGATACTGTTTTTAGCATAGAGGTCGGTCGATGTGTTCCGTGGATATCAGTAATGGCCGTGGCAACTGTTACTGCATGTTAGGAATTCTAGTTGGCTGTTCATTTCTCATTTGCGTTGAGATGGCTTCTTCTTCTTATGTTCAGATCGGACCTTTGTTACATTGGAAGTATTAAGCTTTCCATTCAACAAAAGTGTTTGGATTCTGAACCTTTTGTTTTTGCTACTTCTCATCAGTTAATTTAACCTTGAATCTTAATTGGTATTTTAAGTGATTGCTGAGTGGTTGAGGATGTTTTGTTTTCTTATATTGATGGTGATACCAGGTCCTTTTTTACTATTTTCATACTCTGATTTCTGAATTCTCAAAGTATAAATGCTTTGCCAGGTAGATCTAAATCAAGCCATTTCGATGGTTTCATATTATGCTTCATCTTCTGAACCTGCTATGGTTCGTGGTAAAACTGTTTACATTCAGTATTCTAATAGACATGAAATTGTCAACAACAAAAGTCCCGGAGATATTCCTGGAAATGTCCTGCTGGTAACTATTGAAGGTGTGGAAGCTGGGGATGTTAGCATTGACGTTATCCATTTGGTAAGTGCGACTGAGTTTTATTTAATTTCTCTGGTTCTCTTTTCCGTGTATGTGATTTTGCAAGCTTCTTGTTTGGTTAAGGACGTGGTTTATATGAGTAACATGTGAAGAAAGTCACTATCTCAGTAAAACAGGGTTATTCTTAAAGTAACATAATGAAAACTCGTAATACAAGAATATGATAGTAACTTAAGGATATGATTTTTGTGTTTAGTTAGCTTACAGAAATGTCTCTCTTTTAAGATCATGCTAGTTTTTTCTGTAGTCTAATTTAAGAAGTTTGAAAATCAATTTCTGTTTCAGTAAAATTTTAAATTTTCAATTGAAAAGTTGCAGACTCTTTTATGATACCATTTTTGTTGTGATACCATTGCTATGGTTTGTACTAATATAGGGTACAAGTACAACCTCTTTTCTGAAAATTATTGTTATGGTGGAATATATCATTAAAAATATTCAGTCATCAACAATGAAGCAATCAAACTATGAGTTCATAATATTCTAACTCCCAGTTTTCAACAAAACCCCCATAAAATAGATCAACAAGCTAAGTTGTTTAAAAATGCTAGGGCATATGAAGAGAATATTTGTTTAATTTAGTAGCAAAACAAAGTTTACAAGCAGTTTAACTACAAACTAGGTATTTTGTGTGGACTGAATTAGTCACTTGTATTTAAGTTGTTATAAACAACCTTTTCATTACCGTAAGTCAGTATTGGGTACTGTTCCATGTGTACCCAATATGTGTCAGTACAGGATACTTTCCATGTACTAAAAGTTCAATGTCAGGATTCCATAAATGAAAATTAAAAAATGCAACCTTTATACTTATGACATCCTGAATTAATTCTTATGTATCACCCTTTTTTGTTTGGAGAAGCTTATAGTTAATGCTTTAAAATTTTACTATTTGAGTACTGATATCATTTAAGATTCAATCATTTAAAGAAAATTAAGCAGATAGTAAAGCTTATATATGTATGTTTTTATGTAAAGAATAAATTATATCATATTTTTAATTTTTTTTGACGTGTTTAGTTTATTTTGTCTTTTACCTCCTTAAAAGTTGCATACCTCTGTTTCTGAAAGGAGTGGAAATTAGCCCCTTAGAAAGATAAATAAATGGCATCATTAGTATTAATAGAAAGATCTATAGTTGAATTGGAGGTCTGGTTTGGAGTTGAAAACCTGTTGAAAACAGAGACACAGTTCACATTACCTTTAAGAAAAAGGTATGTACATTGGATCATTGCAGGACATGTTACTGCATATCATCGTTTTAAATGTAAAAATATTTTTTTCTGATTGATTTCTGCTTAATATGTTGGTTTCATCCGCTAGGAAACATTTAAAGTCTTATGCAAATTTTTCATTCTTATGTTGCATCTTTGCCTTTACCTTTTTTTGGAGGGGCAAAGTTTTACCGTGAATTAGTGGGCAGAGAGTTTTAATACTTTTTATTTGTATACAGTTCCCTATTTTTTTTCATTTAATAAATGATCTTTTATCATTTGCCCTTGTTATTTAGAGTTAGACAGAATCCTGATTAAATCATATGTCATTTTTTACTGAAATCGGTTGAACCACAGATGGTGATCTCTCATATTTAGATACTTTTGTTGGAGACAGTTTGGAATATTTGTCATGTACGTCATACACCTTTCTAAGGTCACGCATATAAGTACAGGTGTCATTCTGCACTTATTTCTTATCTGTTTGAAACTTATTTTTCCTTCCTGACACTTGCTTTGTGATTGTAACATTTGTTCTCGTTTTTTGGATTGTGTGCTAACCTATAATCTTCCAACAATTCCATTTAAGGAATAACTGAATAAGGATTAAGGTGAAAACAATATGAAATATGAACTAGTTCTTTATTCTTTATTCAGGTGTTTTCTGCCTTTGGCTTTGTTCACAAAATTGCAACATTTGAAAAGACTGCAGGTTTCCAGGTTAGTGAATTATCATTACACTACTTTCAACATGTCCCTACCTAACTCACTTCTAGAGTTGACTATGTTTGATGCCATGACAGGCTCTGATTCAGTTCACTGATGCTGAAACTGCTTCTTCTGCTAGAGATGCACTGGATGGAAGAAGCATACCAAGGCAAGCAGTGTTTTTGTATTTTGTCATTATTCTTCAAACCTATCTATGATTTTGGTTATAGTTTGATAAGTAGTAAATTTGCTGATTCACTTATGCTTTGCTATGTAGATACCTTCTTCCAGCCCATGTTGGTTCTTGTAATTTACGTATTTCATACTCAGCACATAAAGATCTGAATATCAAGTTTCAATCAAATCGCAGCAGGTAATGATTGGAATAATCTCAACTATCATATATTATTCTTCAGTTGTTTTAACATTGTCTTCTGCTCAGAAACTTAAGCAAATTGTGAAAGCTATTGCATGTTATTTTTTAGATGTTCTTTATTTTGCTAATTGATATGTGTGCTTTTATCATCTAGGGCTTACTGAAGCTTGGTAGTCAGGATACAGTTGACTTGCCATGACCACTTAGTAATTTTCTTGATCATTTTCTAACTGTTTGACGCATTTACTGTCAATATTATTGAAACAATTGTTCTTATGTTATTGAAATGTATTTGCAAGATTTTTTTTAGTGGGTTTTCCTATATCACGTTGACAATTCAATACTAATTATCTGTAGTTGTCAATCTAATATATTTTCCATCCTTGCTCTGGAGGCTACTCTGATGTTTACAATGTCCCATTGCCTCACAATTGTGTTCACTATGTAGTGATTTATAGTTGTAGAGGCAGCTTCTACTTGTGTCAATTTAGTTCTTGATTGAAAACACTATATTTTTTTCTTCTTTTTACATCTGAGATCAACTGGCTATGAGGTGTTACTTCCTAAAATATTTCTATATCAGTTGACATTATTTTTTGTTTGTGTCGAGGCTCCAAATTTAAATTCTTGTTTCCTAATTTAGTTACAATCTTGAGGTCAGGAAGAATTTAAGAAATGAATGTTTTTAATTGCCAAATCTTTTGATCTTTAAACACGAATTTCTTTATTACATAATAACCTTGATTTCAGGTGACATTTTTGTTAAAAATATTTGACATAGTGACACTCAAACACTGGAATTGTTAGTGAGCCATATTTACATGAATAAGCAAGAAGCATGTATGGTGAACTGAGCATCTTCTCTATTAGTCTATTTAACATAATAATATTACATAAATTTAACAGACTTGTCTATAACTACTGTCATTTAAAACCTTGCAAGTAAACCATTTTGGTTCCATGCCCCTAAACTTTAGATATTATTGTATATGTTTAACGTACACAATTGTTTTGTAAAGCTTTTGACTCAGGCATAACATTTTCTTTATGTGCATGGGTAAATTTTTATTTTCTGATTTTTTATTAGCCCTCTATCAATAATTAGTATTATTTTCCCCCATGATTTTTCAGGGACTACACAAATCCTATGCTTCCCGTTAACTATACTGCTATTGAGGGGACAGTACAGGTATTTTGTTCTTTTATGCTTTATACATATTACTTTTACTGTTTAGTATGCTCTGCCAAACATATATTCTTCAGACTGCTGTAGGCCCTGATGGGAAGAGGAAAGAACCTGAGAGCAATGTGCTTTTGGCTTCCATTGAAAATATGCAGTATGCTGTTACTGTTGATGTCCTCCACACTGTAAGAATTTGTGTTTTTGTGTAGAACTTCCAAAATTATAAGTTATTTACACTCCACAATCTGACATGAGTTGTCAATCTTTACAGGTCTTCTCTGCATTTGGTACTGTCCAGAAAATTGCTATATTTGAAAAGAATGGTCAAACTCAGGCACTAATTCAGTACCCTGGTATTAATCATATTCAACTGTTAGTCTTTTCACTAGCACATTTAAGCGCGCGCACACACACACAAACATACATACACCTGCTTACGCATAAATGAGAGCTTACTTTTTTTTTAATGCATTTTGGGGTTAAGGAACATTGTTGCCCTGGGAATAGAGTGCTTATGTATCTGTGGTTTGACCATTTTGTATCATCTCTATTATATATCTCATTCTTTATTGTTGTTATTTCATTACCAATGCTTTCCTTCTTCCCCACCCAATGTTGAATGTGGATAATGTTTCTTGCTTTTGGTAGACATTAATTATGGTAGTTTATGGTTTTGAGCTAAGTTGTATGTGACACAAGAAAGAAACTGGTCAATTTTTTGAGCCTCCTCTCGTAATATTATGTTATCTGAAGTTTTTTTATGCACCCTTTGGCCTTTCATATAATATTTGATTGTTTTGCCCTTTTTTCTTTTTAACTCAGACTTTCATGTCATATAGTCTTGCAGATTAGGGTCCATATCATAGGAGACATTCAACATGTTAAAATGTAATTTCAGGGAATGGAAGTGGGTGGGTAGCAGTATTTACTAGTGCTCCCATCCCCTCTTTCTCGATAAAGCCTTTGTTTTTTATTTATTGATCATGGGCGGACATACTTTTGCAGATATCATAACTGCAGCAGCCGCTAGAGAAGCTCTAGAGGGGCATTGCATATATGATGGTGGCTATTGTAAGCTTCATCTATCATACTCTCGTCATACTGATCTCAATGTAAAGGTATAAAAATATGTGTTTTTGAGTTAATGTTCATGAGGGGGAAAAATGAAAAAGGGGGGAAAATTAAAGATATCCTTAGAAGCAATGTGGACACTTGATCAGAAAGAGATTTGATTCTTAAACGTATGCTTCTTGACACTTGATTGACCTACCTTTAACAGTATTTATAGTAATTTGTTCATGACAGTTGAATAATTATCCCAATTCTAATTTTAGTATTATATTTATAATATGTTTTGGTTGTAGGCTTTCAGTGACAAAAGTAGAGACTATACAGTGCCAGATCCTAGTCTTCTTGCAGCACAAGGTCCTGCAACAGCTTGGCAAAATCCTCAGGCTACTTACCCTGGTAGTGCCCCTGCTTATCACACTCAAGTTCCGGGTGGACAAGTGCCATCATGGGACCCATCCATGCAGGCTGTTAGACCCAGTTACATATCCGCACCTGGTACTTTTCCTGTTCAAACTGGTGCCGTTCCTCGAATGCCATCCTATGCGCCAGCAGCAGCTATGCCCGCAGCTTCCTCACCTCTTGCACAAAGCAGCCCCATTGGTCATAATGCAAATCCAATGGGAATTCCTCAACCTGGGGTTCCACCCAATGTAAATTTACAGCCCAGTGGTGGTCCACTTGGGTCCTCACCTCTCATGCAGACCAGCCAAGCCGCTCAGGCAGTGGTTCAGCCAGGGGCTCAGCCAAATGCTAGACCTGGGGGTGCTTCACCACCAGGTCAACATTATTATGCTTAGAAAGTCAGTTTTATAGTATTACTGTTAAAGGAATGAAAGAAAATGGTTTTGGTGGAAGAGGAGTGATATAATATGATAAATTTGTTGTTCTATTGGAAATTTCATCAGCATCATCATCATCTTGGTTTTTTGAATGATGTAATTTAATTTGCGAAGAAAGCTTCGAAATAGTTTATATTAGTAAAAAATGTTTCAATTGTACGTAATTGGGTGTTTTAAATTTCACTTAACTAGGTTGTGTTACGCTATACAACTTTGTGATGACGCCGCATTCACTGTCACCATTCTACCCATTCCTCCTTGATTTCCTTCACCTCCAACACTACCACCTCCTTTGCTTCCATCGCCAGCACCGGCACTACTTCTTCCTTGGCTTCCACCACCTCTGCTTCCAAAACCAATGTAACTTTCAGGCACTATCACCTCCGCTTCCACTAGCACTATCTTGTCCTTCTTGGCTTCCTCCACCTCCACCTCCAGCACTACCACGTTCTCTTCGGCATCCACTGTCACTTTGGTTTAAAAAAAATATCCCGAGTCGTTTTATCTTGTACGCCTCCTAGGTTAAAGTTAAATGTTTTTATTAGAGTTAAAAAATCAAAGGATTTACATAAAACTCGTGTTATATTACATAATTTTTTTATCAGAAAGTCATGTAGCATGGTGTGACTTTAGTTATGTGAAATTTTAAAAAATGACTCAGTTACTTAAAATTGAAATACTTTTTACCCTCGTTAGTAAAAAAAACCCTTAAAGTGTAGGTGTTTCAATATCTTTCTCTCCGCACGGTAACTTGGTAGTAATAAAAAATCAAATTCCGTAGTACGTTGCCATGGGCAATTCACTTCTGTCGTCATCAATCAAAGGTGAGGGGGTCGTAATGTTTTGGGCCCGGTAAGCTTGCCCTCGCATCCTTACGTTGAATTTCACATTTGCAAGAATATTTCTCCCCACTTCCCAGCATTAAAGTGAAATCAATGCCATATTAGTCAAATGAGAAAAAAGTTCATTTAAATGTCAACAACGATTGGGCTTAATTGCCAGGATTATACATCAGCAAAATTATTTCAAGTTTTGTAACCTGTAGCCGAAGTTGTTGAGATATGCTTTTTCCTCTTGAAGTTAATTTCTCAGGCATTCTCCGACACATCCATATGGGTAACAGAACATTTACGCATCCGTCAATTAAGTTTGAAACTTTATTTGTATCAAATCTCGTGTGGCGAACCGTAAATTAATATTTGTGAAAAATTAAAGTTCGTATGCTCTGGTACCATTTCAAATATTTATAGAAGAAACTTTAACTTCTAAATAAATTTAAATTTAGATAGTGCTTCTGCATATGCATGTCCCTTCACTTGGGAACATGAGAGGGCGAGAGAACATAAATTTATTATAGGGTGACATTTGCTCATAAAAACTGAATAAATAAATAGGGTCACATTTTAAATAAGATGAGACCAACCTGGCAACTTCTTTTACGAAGGAAAACTGTATAAAGATGAAGCTAATTTGTATACATAATTGAAAGATAATTCTCATCAAACTACTCACCAGCTCTTTTCGCTACCGTAGGCTTCCATGTTATGTGCTATATGGTTGGGAAGCTCGGATTTAACATCAATCAGTTTCCAGTTGCTGCAGTCATTTGGAATCGATAAATCTCTAACCGTCAATGATTCGGAATATAACCTGAAATTACTTGAAACTGCACATAAACTAAGGCACAATTAACAAATATCAGCTGTCTGTTGATAAATTTTAGGATTTTATGTATATGAATTTTGTATATACATGATGTGGGTATATTTTTATTTATATATTTTATAATATTACAAAATATCAAATATCAATAATATTACAATCATAACGAATTAAATCAAAATAATAACCTAATATATTTTTACATTCTCTTTTAAAAGATAATAAAATCTCTTAATACCTAATTTAAAGATAATAAAGTAATATTCTCAATATTCCTCTTTACTTTAATATCTATTTATTTGAATTTGATATTTTTTTCTTTTATTTTGCTTATAATTTTTCCTTATATTTTTGTTTGTACTTCTTGTCATCTTCTTTCTTATATGAGATGGGATCACATCTTCATTCGATTTCATTTTCTTCATCAAAGTATTTCTTCCTTTATTAATTTCATCTCTTTTGTTTCTTTCAAACTTCATAATAATACAGTTGACTCTTTGATGAAAATTTGAAACGCTTTCTTCATCTACATCTTTATTTTCCTCCTTAATATCAAGTTTTTTCAAGAAATCTTCTTCATGTTTTTTCTTTGACTTTTCTTTTATATATTAGTTTGTAATCAACTCTTCTTTCATCAAATTTAAAGTGAAACTTTTTTCTTTAATGTAAACTTCGAATATTTCCAAGTTATTTATATCTTTAATCACACAAAGTTTATGTTCAAAAGACACCTTATAACTTTTCTGAAATAATTGAGTAATATTTAACAAATTATGATTTATATCAGGAATATATAAAACATCAAAAATCAATTTAATACTCAAATGACTTTTAATTGCAATTGTTCTTGTACCTTTCACATCCATTTCTTCTCCATTACCGATTCTCACTTTAGAAATATGTGATTCTTTAAATTCTTTGAAAATTTCTCGATCATGAGTCATGTGGTTTGTACAACCACCATCTATAAGTCAATCTGTGGATTTGTTGATTGTAGAGCATGTTGATGCAAGGAGAAATACCTCTTCTACTCTATCCTTTATAACTTGAACAACTTCCTCTGGTTGTGATTTGCATATCTTTTCTATATGTCCTAATTGACCACATTTGTGATATTTCACATCAGGTCTCCATCAACATTTGTTGGGTGTGTGATTATTTTTCTTGTAATAAGGACAAACAGAAAATACTCATGATTTTGTATCTTTGTTGTTCTTGGCTTGTACAGAACCTTCATCATGATATAGTAAAGAACCTTCACCAGAAATATGATATCTTCTTATCAATCTTTGTTGCTCTTGCGCTTGTAAAGCATGTAACACTTCTGTCAAAGTAATATTAGACAAATCCTTTGTATTTTCTAATGAAGCAATAAATGCTTCATATCTCTCTATCACAGTCAGAACTTTCTCAACTATTCTGAAATCAAGAAATTTCTTGCCTAACAATTTTATTCTGTTAGCAATATCCAACAATTTGTTTGAGTATTCATTAATTAACTATTCTGGAATCAGGAAATTTTTTACCTAACAATTTTATTCTGTTAGCAGTACCCAACAATTTGTTTGAGTATTCATTAATTGTTTGAGACTCTTGTATCTTTTGTATCTCAAATTCTCTTATCAAGTTTAGAACTTTCATACCTCAAATTTTTTCATCCCCTTCATATTGATCTTTCAAATAATCCCAAATTTCTTTAGATGACTTTAGCGTCATGATTCTAGTGAGGATCATTTGTGAAACAAACAAACATGATTTAGCTTTTGCCTTCCTCGTTTTTCTTTCTCTGTGAAATTTTATTTCAGCTATAGTAGGATTTTCAGATAGTAGATCAACAATATAATCTTCTTCTACAACTTCCTATACATCCAATCCTTCACGATAGGATTGCATTCTCACAGCTCATAAGTCATAACTTTCGCCATAAAAAACTGGAATAACGACTTGTGAAAAATTTCGTTCTCCTTCTATTGTATCGAACAAAAACTCTTGATACCAATTTGTTGAGAATTTTTAGGGTTTTATGTATATGTATTTCTGATATATCATGTGAGTATATTTCTATTCACGTATTCTATGTATATATAGAGTAAAAATATTACAAAATATAATATCAATAATATCTCAATCATAACTCTCTACATCAAAATAATAACCTAATATCTTTTTACTTTCTCTTTTAAAAGATAATAAAATATCTTAATACCTAATTTAAATAAAAAATAATAAAATGATATTCCCAATACTTTTAGTCCCTCGTAGGAAAATAAAATGAAAAACTCCTTATATTTTTCAATAGAAGTACTTTATTTTCTTCTGCATTGGCTGATTGATTAGTTTCAATATCTTTTGTAAATCAGGTACTTAATCACCGAGAAACAAGAAGGTTTGGATTCAAACACTACACTTATAGTTGCTAATCGATCTTAATTAATGAATTCATAATAAGAATATAGTTTTTGGAGTTATCACAGGTACGAATTATATGAGAAATCTGAACGATCCTCTTAAATATACATTTTATAATTTACAAGATCTAAATGCAGTACTTAGTTTACTCGATTTTACTCAAACAAGAAAATTTTGGTTCGATAATAATGTGGTTGATGTGCACAAATAGAAAGACAGTGAAAATTTGCAAAAAAAGAATGTAATGCAGAAGAGAAGGAACACAAAGGCATGTGCGAGGCTCGTCCATAGAAGAAGCTAAGTGACAAGACCATGTTTTGATCATGGGTCATATTCTATTATGATAGTGCAGTGTCCTTGTGTTTAAACAATGGTTTTAAATGCAGAGAGGGACTACTCCACAGTGCGAAACTCTCTCTCCGGTGGTAACACGACGTGTCTCCGCAATAAAGCAAAACTGGCCCCTTTGTTCTTCAGATTCTTCACTAAATTGTGATGACATGGATAGTAGCGTAAGCGTAGTTTGCATTGCACCCTTTGCGGATGACACTTCTGAAAGGAACTGCTACGAACAACGTTAGATCCGAGATTTTACTAATGGAGTATGTATATGCATATTGAATTTCATCATAATTAATGATGATGACGATAGGTTGGATTAAGCTAAGTTTTATAACATCTGAATCTGAATTTTACTTTCTAAAGTTAAGACCAAAATATAACATACTTCCTAAAAGACACATAACATGACTTTTATCCTAAGCTTAATTATTCAAAAGTTTATTTTATAGTAAGATCTTTTAAGTAAGTTTTATGACTTATCTTTAAATTAAGTTACTTAGCCAATACTTATATTTAATTTGAAGTGATCTGAAGTCTTCAAATACACCAAAAGAATATAAAATCTCAAAATATTATATTAAATCATATTATTACTATTATTATTATTATTATTATTATTATTCTTATTATTATTATTATTATTATTAGCTTACATAATACTATTTCAATTATTTTATCAGCTTAAATAGGTCATGGTTCTAAGTCTAAAGTGACTTTCAAATAGTGTCGAACTTATCTTTTTAACTATATTTGAAAAATCTTGAGACTTAAAAAATCTCATATATGAATATTCAACTCAATCAAAGTCAAGAAACTTATTGGAGTTACTTACTGTAACAATATTAATTAAAGCATCAAACATAATTTCACAATATTAATTAAAGCATGTGTCTCTCAATATGTGCACCCTAATTAATTGTAGGATCTATATAATTTTCTGAATAGTGATTTATTTAAGCTTTTCACATGCTCTAAGTAGTGATTACCAAAAGTTTACGTTATTAGCACAAAGTTCCTTTCACGTATTTAATGACTTGAACCGACACTAAGCCACGCCCTATAACATTATGGTAACACATCAAATTCACTTACTGCTGAAATATTATAAACATGATCAAAGCATATGATATGACACATATAGGGAACTACTTGGATGGTTACTATATACTCCAGAGGGGACAAAAGGTGGTCTAAATTGCAATGATACATATTGTGAGCAAACTTCTATGCATGCAATTATTTTCCTTAACTTATTATAACTTCTCAATGGTCTTGATGTGAAACATATGATTCAAATGAACAAGAAAATGTATGCTACTTCTAACTAATCTTATTGTTTAGGGGATAATAATTACAAAAATGTCAAATCGTTATTACCTTATTTTTTAAAAGATTTTTGAAAATACAGAAATAACAAATGTTGCTTGTCATCTATCTTGTATGAACTTGTGAATGCAAAACAAAATGCTATTTGTAACGTTTAAGAATGTTTTTATTTTCGGATGATATAAGAAATTTTGTTTGTTTTTATAACTTTGTAAAATGGTATCCTTTAAATGTGTTATATTAACTACCACTATGAAGAGATATTCGATGTAGGTCACATCATCACAATAATTAATTTTTTTAAAAATGTAATAAAAAAATTACAAGGATTAAAAATAATAAAATTGACTATATTTTGAGGATTTCTATATTACAGAATTAATTTTAGTCAAGATTTTTTTTTAATAAACAAACTAGTCCTTAGTTTTTTTTTAAAATATGGAAAAATGATATTTTTCTCTCAATCTATTTTCCCTAGTTTAAAGCACTATGACGAGTATATATGCAATTTTCTTAGAGACCATGTTTTCCAAAAATGCACCTAGAAACGTCAAAAAGATCTTATAAGGTTGGGGCTGTGTGGTAGGGCAAGATGGGTTTGTCTTCCCATGTGAAAAAAATAGCAAGATTGTATGAGTTAGACCCCACCACTTCATATGTGATCCTCTGCCGACGAAATGAACGAATCACAATGATCTAGCTACAACTTCCCTTTGGTTATTTAATAATCATCTTATATACATACATTACATTACATCTATCTAAAATAGTATTAATGTTCTGAGTTAAACATGCATCTGAGTCTGCACGAACTAATTTCTATACATGGTATAAACACTAGCTCTATAACTCAACGTGTTTCATTTGTAGCTTAATGCTTTTGTGGTGTGTCTTGAGCATAATAATTAAGTAGGTACTTGTGTCTGCAGATATGAATAAATTTCACATGTTTGTATTTAATGTCTAAGCAACTTTGCATGCATGCCAGCCAAACATCGTGTCTTTGCAGATTCTAGATGAGTTATGACCTCTTCTATTAGGCCATAGCACAGAGGTTAAAGGTACAACATACAGATTTTCTTATCTTTGAATAATAGATTATGAATTTATGATGATATATATAAGTATCCATATATTGATTATGATCGTACCCTATAGGATATATTTACTGCACCTTAATTAATTGCTTGATGGTAAGAGGAAATGAAGAAAATCTTTGAAGCTAGATGAATGAAAGGCTGAATTGAGAGATTGAAGTTAGAATCCTTACATTGGTAACTGGGGATCAGAGAAGCAAATGAAATGCACTGTTTGTGACTTTTGTCATATTGCAATTTAAAGTTGACAAACGCCCTTCCTCGCATCCAATGTGTAAGTGCCACTCATAAGAACGTTATCTTTGTTGTTATCTAATAAATAGTCGTACTCAAATTGTTACCACCAAATACTGATTGAAACTTTGGGTGACATTTATTACCATGCATCAAATCATGCAAACAATTTAACACTATAGAAGAGTAATTTCAGAGAATTTTTCTTATGTAATCATTAGTAATATATCCAGTACATTTAATGGCTTGGATTCTGGTATAAGGTATTACATAATTAGACACTGATAGGATAAACTTGTCAACAAGCACTTATACAACAACAAAAAAAAGAAAAATAAATAATTTTGACTTTCTTCAAAAACTTATGTAAATTTATGCATTTGTCGATAAATTTATCTCAACAAGGCTATATTGGATAGTACATGTTCAGTTTCTACCTCAGGTATTATATTTTAATTAGCTAATGTATCCTTTTATTCCCATATGACAAAAAATTCTTGTTAAGGTGTGTCATTTTTCCAGAAGAAAGATTTTGAAAATATTCTTTCATGTCTAAAAGGTTTCAGGTAAAAAAAAGGGGCTTTGGAAATAAGGTAACTTTTTCTTTCCCAAACAGATTGTGGCTTGTTTGGACTAGTTTTACTGCTGTGGAACTTTTGTCTTTTTTCTTGCAGGCACTTTGCTATAGTATGTGGATAAATTACAAGAATATCTTAAATTCAAAGCCTTTGTGGACTCCAATTCAATTTGAATTGTATGAAACCGCTTTCACATTCCCGTTAAAAAAGCATAGTTTTCCACAAACCAGATTCCCTAGATCCCTTGCTCTCTCACAGTTTTCAGCAATTGCATGGTCCCAACTGCTCAAATGTGTCTATATGTCTGTCAGGTTGATGTTGACTCTCCTCTATTTATTCCTTTCCAATTTCCCCTTTCATTTCCACAAACAACTTCTTTCAAGGTTCAGCTTCTTTGAACTGATTCTCTTCCTTTTCACTCTCTTTTGATGTTCTCTTTCACTTTTTAGTGTATTAACTATAGTTCTTCAGCTAGCTAGCTAGCTGGCCATAACTAATTAATCAAATTTATTGCACAATGCTGACTTATTTATACTCCAATGATGCATTTATGTAGGGAAATGGCTCTTCTTGGATTTCTTCTGGGACTTTTCTACATGGTGTCACATGTCAAGGGTTATGGGGGTTGGATCAATGCACATGCCACTTTCTATGGAGGAGGTGATGCTTCTGGAACAATGGGTATGTACGCCAGCAAAAGTGTAGCTCACATTTTTTTTTTTCTTACCATAAGTGTACTTTAGCTGCTTTACTTGGTTAGTAACACACTACCATGCATATGTCTCAAATTGCAGGTGGGGCTTGTGGTTATGGAAATCTCTATAGCCAGGGTTATGGAACTGATACAACAGCACTGAGCACTGCACTGTTCAACAATGGTTTGAGCTGTGGTGCATGCTTTGAAATTAAATGTGTGAATGACCCACAATGGTGCCTTCCTGGCTCTATCGTAGTCACTGCCACAAATTTCTGTCCACCTGGTGGTTGGTGTGACCCTCCCCAACACCACTTTGATCTGTCTCAACCTGTTTTTCAGCACATTGCTCAATATAAGGCTGGAATTGTGCCTGTAGTTTACAGAAGGTAACTAACTTCCATTCTCATTTTTCTTTTCCACATGGTTCAAGGTTTCAAAAAACAGCATGTATGTGACCAATTTATACTGCGCCGCCAAGGTTCTCTAACTTGCCACAACTGAATTATGGCTGTATTTACCTATAATTTTCTTTGATGTCTTTGTTGATGTCCATTTTATTACTGTTCTGGCCTTGAAGCTAACATTTGTTTACATGGATTTTGAAGGGTGAGGTGCAGGAGAAAAGGTGGAATCAGGTTCACCATCAATGGCCACTCTTACTTCAATCTAGTCCTTGTGACCAATGTTGGAGGTGCTGGTGATGTGCATTCTGTGTACATCAAAGGGTCAAGAACTAGATGGCAAGCCATGTCAAGGAACTGGGGGCAGAACTGGCAGAGCAACTCCTACTTGAATGGCCAAAGTCTCTCCTTTGTAGTCACCACCAGCAATGGACACAGTGTGGTGTCATACAATGTTGCTCCAGCTGGTTGGTCCTTTGGGCAGACCTATACTGGAAGGCAGTTCAACTACTAACCAACCCTTAATTGAGTACCTTTTCAATAATGTTTAGTAATATATTTTCTCAGGATTACTGGTCAAAGAGCCTAGTTATAGTTGAGTATTGTTGTAGAGGGATTAGTGTTGTGGGCTAAATAGAAGATGATTTAGTCCCTTCTTTATATAAATATATTTGATTTGATTTGATTTGATTTACATGTATAGCAAGCATTTGCAGATGATGTGCTGGCTTAATTTATGCTATGCCTCAGCAAATGGAATACTTGCTCTGTTGAGAAAGATAAATGGTAAAAAGGATTGTTGAACATGTCCTTGTACTTTAGTTACCGGTGTTATTATGCTCAATTGCTTAATAAAAAGGAGAGAAGTAGACCTTGACTTCACTTGACTTCACTTGCATTCCTTTAATAATGTTTTGGGTTAACTCTAACTCAGCAAAGTAAGAACAGAACTATAATGTTCATCATTACCCCTTCTATTGCATGTATGAAGTCATTCTTGCAGCTTTTGTACTTTTCTTTCTTTTCATCTTTCTTCTGTCTTTGTTGTTTTGTGAGTACGGGTCGGTCACATTCTCGAAAATACTATTATAAACAATACTTCGTAGTTAAAACAAATTTAAATAAAAAGTGGTTAGAGTTATTCATTCGCGCATTCATCCAAAAAACTCTAACTTATTTGAGGTTTTCTTAATTTTAGAGATTAATATAGTAATAAAATTAAATTTCAAGAGCTAAAATAACTTTTATTTCACATAGCTATAAAATTATTTATTCTTTTGACCAGATCCAATACCTCATAAATCACCACAATTACATAAACAATTTACTTTAACTTGCTTCTTAAGGATAAAAGTAAATTAATTGAATGGTATTATAGATTCATTATTCTCCCCATTTTTGTTGACAAAAGCTATATGCTTACAGTTTTATTCCAACTGTTCAACAAAGAAATAGGTCGGAATCAGAAATTTCCAAAAAAGGAGAATAAACCTTTGGGATTAACATCAACTTGAAATTCTTCTAACACAAACCACACATAAACATTCAAAAACTCCCCACCAAAAAGTGTTGATAATAAAATTAAGATAAATTCATCAAAGGCAAGACTTTTTTTTTTTTTTTTTTCATGGCAACTTTTGACAATTTCATTCCATTTGTTTCATTTGAAGTAAATTGGGCCAAAAAGTCCTTCAATTTAGTTCAAGGACAGATATGAAAAATTAATCCCATCTGTTAAAAATTACCTGCAAATGTTTTGTAACTTCATTTTTATTCCTTTCAAACCACCCAATCATTCCCAGTTTGCAGAGCAACTAAGTCATTGATCTTCCCCTTAGATTTTACCCAGCATAAAAAAATTCTGGTGTTTGCATATCTATCATTTGGTCACATAGATTGACTTCTGAAAAGTGGAAATCTCCTTATTTTTAAGCAAATGAAATAAACAGGAATTGTAAATAAACAGAGTCAATGGATTTGGTTCTTCAGTAATGAGTCAAAGAAATCCTTTATTAAAATTCTTACGTGCATCAATCTCGCCAAGACTTATGATACTTCCATCCTCCACTCCTCCTAACATAATTAAAAATATCAGTAGTATACATCATGCAAATTTTAAAAAGAAAAAAAAAATAGTTGTAATTTGTAAGTGATGTTTCTTGCCTGTGGGGTGGGGTGCTGTAGCCAGTTTTATTTATTGAAAATGTGCTGCATCCAATGACATCAACATTGACCTGCTTCAACCACAATGTTTCAGAAGCTAATAGATTTGTGAATCAATATACTTGTTATAAATTTAATATTATTATAACAAAAAAAAGAGACATTAAAAGTTAACAAATACGAGATAAATATTACTAAACTACTGTAATTTTTAAAGTAATAATAATAATAATAAAACTTAATAAATTGGTGACCTTTACAGTAGTGTGAAAAAAAAAAAAAAAAAAATTAGTGACAGGCACAAAAGGGACAGAGACAGAGTGATAGTTGAAGGTTTCCATGCCCCACCTTACTCGTTGAGTTAAGGTATGAAAACAGTTTGGATTGGCCCTACCTTAATTTTCTATTAATTATATATTTAATGTTTTTATCAACATTTTACAAACTCTCTTAAGCTCGTTAGATTTACGTAGTGCGCTCGTTCTAAATTTATGTTTTCACGGGATAAAGAAATAATAATAATAATAATAATAATTAGATTAGGCACTTAAAAATTGCATTTACATTTAACACATTTTAGAAGAATATAATGCAATGTGATGAGATGCTGTAATGGCAAATTCATTTGTCAAACATCTATAGCTGTCTCCATTAACTACTACTTCAACCGCATCATTTTATCCCTTTTTTTTCTTGGTCAAATTAAAACCTTTATTTCTTCATTATCCAGTTTTAATTATATGTAGTTTGGACACAGCTTGATGAGTCCACTTTCTGTTCCCACTAAAAATAAAAATACTCCCACCAATCACTCATCTAATCAAGACATTCGGATATGACATAGTGCCATTTTGTTATCTCGTCAGAGCCTTTTTTTCTTTTGACACGGTTATAAAGAAAATTTAAGTTTCTTTATTTTCAAAATGTATAATTCAATTATATATACATCATTTACAAAAAAAATAGTAGCAAAAAGTGAGAATATCATCATAATAAATTATTTTAGGATTAAAAAAACAAGTTCTTAATTTATTCTAATCCAAATAAATTAACATTCTATAGAAAAAGGTTTTAAGTAAACGAGCGAATTCATAAACGAAAATGTAGATTGAATTTTATTCTAAATTTAGAGATTTTAAAATTATATTTTTGAACCTTGGGAATGTAAATATTTAAGTGGAAAAGTAAAATTTGTGTGTGCTTCTCTCTATCCCTAATAATGCTAGGATAATAGTTATGTAGGCTGAGTTGAAAGTTTTATCCCAATTATGGACATTTTCCATGATACATATTTGCCATGTTATGGGCCAGAAACAGTAGCAGCCCACGATGCTCACTTTGATTTTCATTGAGTTCGTGGGTTGACCCATGTTCCTTTGTTCTTCCGAATGTTTGTCTCAAACGCATTGGGCCATTATGAACATTTTTTATTTCTTTAACACAACCCAATCCATTTGAAGCTATCATTGCGTGGCCTTTTGGGCATATTCACAGTGAAGCTGAAGAACATGAGGCCCAATATAGCTTGCTTCATTTTTGGGCCATATTCGCAATGAAGCTTTAAAACTCGAGACCCAATATAGCTTGCTTCATTTGCTTAAGAACTTGGCCATACTAACATTGAAGCTTGAGAGCTTGTGGCCCAACATAACTTGCTGCGTTGGGCCATGGTGAACTTGTGGCCATATATCATTGGGTGGCCTTTTGGGCCATATTCACATTGAATTCATCTCTTGTTTTTAGTCCCTGCTATTTACGCTCTCTTTCCCAATTATTTGAACTAATTTTTTTTTTTAAATAATTCCTCCACTATTCTTTCCTCTTTTTAAATTTCTCCTAATTGTTATAGTATCAGTTGATTGGATTTGATTAGAACAATATATATATATATATATATATATATATATATATATATATATATAATCAAAGAATATTAGTCTATTAAAAGTACTGTTTAAAAATTTTTAAAATTAAAATTTGATATATTTGTAGATTATTAAATCTAATAGAACGAGAATGAAATTGCAATTTATATTAAACGTTTTAATAGCAAAAGTAAATTTCCGGGTGATTTGAAATTCGAATAAAACATGATAATGTTAACATAGCTTGTGACTCATAACTGATAAATTTTATCAGTTACCGCTGTCAGTTCTTTTGTTTTTATTTTTTTTTATATAAATATTAGATTAATGAATATAATATATTTTTAAAAGTTCTACATAAAAAAATTTATTTATATAATGAAGTTAAAGTTGATAATATTCTATTCTCTTATTTTAGTTAAAAATAATATAAACTTATATTTTGACTTTTTTTTTATAATTTTTATAATAATATATGATAAGGTTTAGTTTATGAGATTTAATTTAAATTTTTGTTTATAACGTGAATGTATTGAGTTTAAAGATTATAAAATTTTTTAGATAGGGTTATTTTTTAATTATTATTAGATAATAATCATGTTTTTTATCTGATTTTGAAATTTTTACATACTGTGTTATTTTTTTTATTAATAGATATTTTTGTATAATTGATTATTATTATTTTTTTCATATAATTCTCGAAAATAAAGATGTAATAGTTTTTTATAATTTTTTCCATCAATAAATAATAAAAGCATTTATAAATAACTATTATTCATGATTTCAGATAATACTACTTGACGTGTGTATCATTCAATTGAAAACGACATATCAGTAAGGATTTGCCAAATTTATCATTAAGAAAAAAATTTAACGTAATCTATCATAAATTTAAAAAAAAATCTATAACAACTATATGTTACTTTCTACGATGAGATACTTGGTGAGGGTTGTGGTTGTACCTTTTAACCTTTTACTGTCAGAAGTTTTTATATTTTGTTTACCACGTGATGTTCTGTTCTTAGCAGAAATATTTGTAAAGAGGAGTGATGAGCACCATTATTCATTTTTAATTTCAATCATTACTTCTTTATAATAATAAAATTATAAATTTAAAAATTGTATTATTTATTAATATTATATTACTAAATAATGTTATCAAATTTTTCCAGAGTAATTTTTCTATTATAAATAATGTTATCAAATTCCTTGGAGGAATCAAATGGTCAACGTTGGTAATCTCCCAAAAAGTCATAAACTGAGTTTCTTACCATCCCTTCCACAAAGAGAACCATCTCTCACCTACCTACCCACCAACTCACCTTTGTCCAATCCATCTCATAAAACCAAAGACTGTTGCTTCCTTTGTCCCAATTATTGTTTCTCTTCTCTTCACAACTCCATCATCATAGTTAACTACAAGCTACCAAACCCATTTTTCATAAAACTTTGCTGAGAAATGGAAAACCAACCCCAATCATCAAATGCTTCTGAAGTAGATGTTCCTCTTCATTCAATTGGATTTGAGATTCAAGATTTGTCTCCACAAAGGGTATCTGGCCATCTTCATGTTACACAAAAGTGCTGCCAGGTTTCCTCACGCACACACTTACTTTCTGCTTTGTTTGTTTTTTATTTTGTTTTCTCTTGAATAAATATGGAAAGTTGTTGGTTTTTATTTTGTACATGGTGAAGCCATTCAAGGTGTTGCATGGAGGGGTGTCAGCATTGATGGCAGAGGCTCTGGCAAGCATAGGAGCACACATGGCTTGTGGTTACCAAAGAGTGGCTGGGATCCAGCTCAGCATCAACCATTTGAAGAGTGCTATGCTTGGTGACTTGGTTTATGCTGAAGCCACCCCTGTAAACGTTGGCAAAACCATTCAGGTATTTCAATTTATTTTCTTGCCTCAATCTACAACCATTGTTTAATCCACTTTTAATCACTCAATTTAAAACCTAATCAAAATAAACTATTTCAAATTACAATCAATAAGGGAGTGTCCTTTTTGTCTGGTTAGGTAAATTTCCACCTGTTGTTTACCCAAAAGAGTAAAGTGAGTAGGGACAGTATGGGTTCAAAGCAAGGTAAAGGAAAAAGAAGTGGAAATGGTTAACTTGCTATATGAAATTGTAACTTTTTTATTCATTTTAATTTATCCATTCAGTGAGTTATAGTTCTATCAGGATATATATTAAAGACTAAAATGACAGTGGCTTCAGTTTCAAAGAATTATTTGATTTAAAAAAAAAAAATTTAGGATCTATTAGAACAGAGAGTCACACAATTTTAGGAGCTAAACTGCCATTTTAATATTTGGCCCAAGAATGAATCGGAACTAATAACCCTATAACTATATTTGGTTCAATATTTCATAGTTTTTTCACTGGGTTATTTTGATGTGATGTTTGTGTTGTACATGCATCCACGTTGTCATAAGCAAAATATGGGAGAAAGAAACTAGGGTGGGTAACTTGACAATACCTCCCGTCATAGGAAAGCAAATTTGAGCCATTGGTTAGTAATTTTTAGATGTGTGGATAGGATTTTTTTTCTTGTGTTATATCTCTTAGTTTTCCCAATTATACCCTTCCATCTTATCCCTCGTTATAGTTAGTGAAATGAGACCTTCTAGATAAAACAAAAAGACAATGTCACTCTTCTTTGGGTCAAAAAACATGGCCAGTTCATGAGTTTCATTCTCCTGGTACCCTAAAGAGGAAATACCCATCAAAGCTGATCTTTTTCTGGCCACATTATTTATAAAAATATAATTTCTTTTTTGAAATACACTTTTTCTACTTTATTTTTCATTTATTTCTTTTCTTTTTCATTCATTTACTTTGTTATTTCTCTTCTCTTTACTAGATATAAAGCTTAAAGTTCATAATGGCAAGGAAAGTAATTTTGATAGTCAACTGTCAACATTCTATTACATGTATGATTTATTAAGCAAATACACACAAAAGTGGTCACTGATTTTCATGAAACCAGGTATGGGAGGTGAGAATGTGGAAGCTTGATCCTTCAAACAAACAAAAGAAATATCTGACATCATCATCAAGGGTTACCATACTCTGCAATATGCCTGTCCCAGATAATGCAAAAGACGCAGGGGACAAACTCAGGAAGCATGCTAGGCTGTGAATATTCCTGCTGTTTAATTTTCGAATGCATAAGCAGAACTCTTCTTCTTTTCTGAAGTACAGTGAGGAGAGGATTGTTGGGGGATTTAAAAAAGCAATGTTAGTGCTTTCAAATGTTAACCATGCTAATAATTTGTTGCTTAAGTGGAAGCACAACTTCTTTTAATTATAAATGGATCAAGATATGCATGAGAAAAAAAGGAAAGCCACCACTATAAAGCTAACAACATCTATATGGCATACTATACCTCCTTTTGTTATGTGCAGAACCTATACAAAGCATCATCATCATCTGAGTTAAAGTTATTAGATACATGTGATGTGCGGCACTTTATATATTATTTTTGGATTTTTGGCAGGGTGCTTTGAATAAATGTAGATATTACTTGTAACATATTTTTAGTGACTTAGTTTTCTTTTGCCCCGTCACCTAAATTTATAGTCCATTAGCTAGAAAATAAGTGATTTTAATTTTTTAAACACTGTCAAAGTAAAATGTTTTATATCATTGATCAGTAAAAAGTCATCGTTACACGACTTTTAAGACAGTTACTAGTCATCAAATTTATGATACCTAATAATGCATTTTTGTTCTGACTAATAGTAGTTGTACTACCTACTGTTTTTAATGTACTCTTTCTATAATAACTACTAAACATAAGCGTTTTTGTTTTGGGGAGCACTCAATAAGGAGGGTCATCCATTTTTGTTTTAATTGATGTTACATAAATTTCAATAAATTGTAAAAAGTGTGTTGGGTAAAATATTAAATCGGTCTTAAAACTAAAAATGCCGTATGCAAATGCATGATTCAACACAAACCGAAATTTGCATTTCAACACTGCCAATCTAAAATTTAAAAGTAGATCAAAATGCAACGAATCGATAACAAAAGATCAGCACAACCAATAAATGAACGAGGATAAAGTTATACACAAAAACTAGTCCTCTCAAATAACAATATACTAATGGAAACTTCAGAATAAAATAAAGAAAATATCTTTCACCGAAGGCATCTGAAATAATCTAACCAATAGAAGAAAAAATTTGGTCAGAAGTAATTATGCTCAAAAAGAAAAAATTAATTAAACAACAATATAAGAGCTTAGCACTCAATTTTAATCAGCACTGAACTAGGGGAATGCAATTTCCACAACAGCATTCTAAATTCACCCACTGATGAATCCCGTCCCACATTATATCTTATAAATTGTTGCCAAAACTTTTGCAACTATTTTTCAAGTTTGAATAGTGCAAGTTTCCTGAATTTCCTGCTCAGTGAGAAGCTTAGTGGTATGAACATATTCAGAAACAGAGGAAAAATCTATGGACTCCAAGCTAATGGATTTCACCGAAAATTGGCTGCCAAGAGCCTTAATGGTTCTCTCAATAAATTCTGATCTAGGCAAATACTCCTTCATTCGACAAATAAAATCCATGTGACTTCTTGTCTGCGTAATAGCAATCAAATGTTAATATGGATTGGTAAAACGCTGAAGCAAAATAAACTTAAAACATGTAAGTTTGATGACATCTGGAGACCAGAATCCACACCAGTTTATGCACAAACACACAAGTATAGCAGAAAAGAAGTGAGGTTTGCCATTCATTGCAGTGGACTCCTATTTTGAGCTAAATGATGAAGATATCATGTAGACTAAATAATTCAACTTTTTTCACCAAAAATCATTCATGGAAAAAAATATTCACATGATATATAACTAGTAATCTAAAATTCAAGAATCTATCTGAAGGAATAGAACTGTTTCAGTTTGACAGGTCCCAAGTGTGGTAGTGAACTCGTTTATTTAGGCAATTACATTAGCAGATACAACAATAAATAGGTAGAAGATGATACAACTCACAATGAAGAAACATTTATTTCCACATTCAAATTCATTCAACTCTTTTTCTCTGCACTTGCTACCATTTCTAGATGAGATATACTCAAACTTCAAATATGGTAGGAAGGTCGAGGTTACAAACAAGCTACATATTTTTGCTATTATTTTATTAGACAAATTACTAGTGTTGTATCATCAGATAGAAGATTACAACAGCGCCCTATATTATATTCCCTTGATTCTAATTTTTTCTAAAACGTATTTGGTTTAGCTTGGAACAAGTTTGAAACACCAATTTTTTCATTAAATCACCTTAATCAGAAATGTATGTAAAAATACGCATGACATGCAGCATATCAACCAACCAAAAGAAGATAAGGAGCACAGGGCTCATCAACAATTCCAATGCAGAAAAAAGATAAATGAAAAAAGAAATATATATATATATATATATATATATATATATATATATATATAAAATAAGCTTACTAATCGGTACTGAGGAGCCTTTGCAGGTAACTTGAGATAACACATGTTCTTGACCTCATAATTCCATAAAAAAGATGTGTGGTGTATCCACCGATTCTTGGTTATAGATTGAGCATTACCACCAAACTTGCGATCACCAAACACATAATCTTTAAGCACAAAGGAAAGAAGAATCCAATTAGTAACGGATTATAATTTTCATGAAACAGATTACAGATGTTTAAATTTAACCAGACTTCTATTCAATCAGTGGAATTAGTCTACCTGCTTCTCAAAGCAAAATCAAAAGCTGTCAATGCTCCAAATGAGATGCCTACATGCATTTTTGTTGTTGAGAAAATGGAAGGGGACAAAAGAACATTTACAACAATAGACACTAGCTCAGGAATTGCACTTTGGCATGCTTTCTATCACAAATTATTTTTTTCTGTACCACATTAAAGTTTGATGGGGAAAACAAGAGAATTGTCACCGTTGAATTAAAACACAACTTAAACTATATAACATGCATCATGTGTGAAGAACAAAACAAGACAGATTTTGATCCTTTCACACAGTTTCGTCAATAATCTACTGTTGAGTTGAGAACCAACATTACATAATGCAAATCACTCAGGCAGGTCCACACCATCAATTTCCTCTACATCTTCTAACATAAAAATTGATAGTATAATGCCCACAAACATTGTAAAAAGCATAATGATACAGGACTCAATCAATGTACCATTCTCACGGAGATGGAAATCAGCAAGCCCTTCAAAAACTTCACTATATAATAAACCACTCCATGACATGATACTGCGGGGAAAGGGTTGCACATTTGGAACAGCATCTTTATTGCATATCAAAGTAACAAATATAGTGTCATGGTCAACAACAACAGTTCCTCCCCCAGTAAACCTTCTGATAATGGGTATACAATCTCGCAACACAGGCTTGGCTTCGACGAGTTCTGAAAGTTTCCTATGTATCCACATTGAAATTACATTTTTTGTCATTGGTGATTATTATCAAGAGAGAAAGAGGATTGAAGGAGGCATTACACAAATAAAGAAAAACAACAATAAAACTCTAAAATAGCATTCATTTGCTTGATACTAGTGCTATTAGAACAGTCTGAAACATTTTTCACATCTGAGAATGCAACATTCCCACAAGATGTATTAAAAACCTTTCCATGGAGGAGGTGAGAACATAACATTCCTATAATCTGTGAATGGTTTAACGAGTTAAAACACATTATTTCCGCTCTCCCCTATCCCCTCTCGTTCTCAAAAACTCTCATGCTGCACACATTGTCATCACCCTCCCGAGGTAATTATTTACACCACCTCCACCTCCACACAATGAACACCAATGCTGTCACCACCAACCTGCCATCACTACCACATTTAAAACCTAAAATGTTGCCTGTGCCACCATAACCACTGCTCAGGGTGTCTTTTTGAAAATTGAACAAATGTGATTTTGGGAAAATGGTCAAGATTAGTGGGAATTTTAGTTTGAACCAAACTTATCAATAAAAGGTGCTCCTAAAAATTCCAAAAAATTTCCCGAATGTGCTGTGTTTTGAGAAAGCCAAACACTACATTCCCTAAAATAGAAAATGACTCCACAAACTAGCACATTAGTAATTTGATAACCTATTTTAGACAATCAATATGGTACAAAGTTAAAAATTAGACTATAGGGTAGAAATCAACACTTATACTAAACCTGTACTATTTTCAACGTATAAACTCGGGTGCATCTGATTATTAGACTCCATGTAGACTAATTTGGGGGGGGGGGGGGTGTTTTATACTGATATTAGCAAAACCAGATTATGATTATAAAAGAGCACTCTGACTAAAGGTATAAAAAAAAATACCCAGACAAGCCCATTACAATGGCAGGGGAATTGGTTCCATCATTAATAAGGCACCAATTATCTGAACTGGTTCGAAGCAGCCGTTCCTCTAAATGCAATTGCTGCAAAATCGGCATCCCTCTTAACTTAACCAACTTCATCAATGGAAGTCCTGCTTCTTTTGCCTTACCCATCACAGCCATTAGCCTGTGCTTTGATTCTGCAATTGAATGAAATCATTGAAGAGATTTCATAAATTACAAGCAGTCAGCTATGATAAAAAACTAAAAAATCAAATGAACATCTTCTCAGACTCATTTCTTCAGTAAAAACAACAATAATAGTAACTTACGGTGTAATTGGCCGACTTTGTAAGTTTCAAATGAAGAGCAATAGAAAAAAATTTCGAATAGAAAACGAGAAAATTAAGAAACAAAAGATCAAGTGAAAAATAACTAGAAAAGAATGAGAATGAGGAATCATGCCAAAACAAAATACTACCGAAACAACACAATAACTAAAGCTGATTGTTGAAAGCAGACCCAATTTCGATTAGTAGAAGAAAATTTGTTTGAGTGAATCACAACAACACAACTAGTTAAGACGCATTTTATCAAACAGGTTCTGTGAGTAACTGAAATTTCCAGACATATACGGGCAAAACTATTGCGTGGCGACAATATTAAAAAATGTGAGTGAGAAGATGTATCTTTTTTTTTTTATTATTTAGGGGAGCTGTGTGGAATTCATTTAGGGGCGAATGAAATTGTCACTCCATTAAACAGTAAAAGGAAGAATACAATTTTTAAAAGCTAAAATTTCCAGTTAATTTCCAGTTAAAGGTATGCAGAATAACAAATTATATGGATAAAAAGAAAAGGTCTGAAAGCAGAGAATAAAACTATATACCTGTAACACGAAGGAAATTGGCAGTGAACAATGATGGCTGGTCTAACTCTTAAGAGAATTTGGGATTTTAGATTTCAGAATGACTGTGCCACTTCTTTAGATACTAATATGCAGTGTTACTTTCTTATTTGATTATTTTACGGTACATGTGTTAGAAGGAAAAGTCCTCTACGAAAAAACACGTGTCTCGTACCAAAAACAAAAGAATTAGAAAAGAATTGTAATTTCATTATTACCTTCCTTTAACATTTTAAGAAAATGAAATACAAATGTTAAAAAATGTTGCAGACAGAACCTAAGCTGACATGAGAGTGGAACAGAAGGGAAAAAAACGGTCTGGACAAAGAAGAAGAACAATCGCACCATAAAACATACCAGAAAGGACCAAAGTCGAAAATTTGAAAGAAAAAAAAAAACAAAACTTTACCCTATTCAGAGGACCAAAATGCAAACTTGATACAATAATTTGAATAATACAATATCAACAGCCCATAAAATTGCACCAATACAAGATCTAGGAAAAGTTGAATCAGTAACCAAGACTAAAAATGTTGAAGACACAACATGTTCATATTCGAAGGTTGTTCGACCAATCCAACCACTGCATGCATGACCCATGCGATCCTCGCGCCTGCTATTGGATTGTCGCGCCACTGATCGTCACCTTTAACCCACGATGGCGATTTTGGGGGAGGCACCACCACGCTCAACAACCCACAACGGCAGTTTTGGGGGAGATTTCACCATGCAAAGTGGTGCAGTGAAGGGTCACACGAAGGTGTTGGAGAAGGGGAAACACTTGTAGGAAAGGAAAAAGGATCTGTGTGGCTGAGGAAGGAGGCAAGGAGGTCTTTCTGGATGGTGAAAGAATTAATGTGCGTGGGTGGTGAAAGGATGCTCTTTTTTGAGAGTGGTTTGCAATTGGTTATTGACGTGTACATACATAAAAATTACACAAGTGTGAATTGCTGTTAAAAAATTAGCATTAATGTGAAATTTGTAAAAATGTACCGTGTGTTTTTAGGAATGAGGTGACTAGCAAATAAAGTCAAATAAGAACTTTCTTGGTTTCTCATAAGAAACTAGCAATGGATATGCTCCAAGTAGAAATCACTGAACTAGGGACATGTCATGCAATGAAAGTTGGAGCAACAACGTGGAGAAACTAAAATTATTTTTGAACCAATAGAAAACATAGATTTGCAAAGAAACCTGGAACTGTGTTGTGGTTTTGTGTTTGTTATTTAATTTGATAATTGAATGAGCACAAAATGCAGCTGCCAATGATGGGTGTGTTTTCAAGGTACTTGCCATCCCATAAAGAGCTTCCAAAGCTTCGGAAACTCTTTGCTGATGCCAGATGGCTGGCTACCTTTTAGCAAACCCATGCATCCCCCCCAGTTTCTGATCCGCAACCAAAGTTCAAACCACTAGCAAATTTGGTTTCTAGGAATGTTTAGACGGTCGGCTATGTGCGTAGTGTGAGCCCCTTGGAAATCCTTGTGCTCTTCAAAGACCTGCCTTCATTGCAAAATGCACGCCCCAATGAGTATGTGTTCACCACTACTCTTTCTGCTTGTTCTCATGGTGGGAGAGTCAATGAAGGGATGCAGCGTCATGGGCTTTTGTTTAAGTTTGGGTCGGTATGACATTAGTACGTGAAGAGTGAGCTTGTTCACATTGTACTCAAGGTGCTCCCTCGTGGAGTTAGCATTGCAGGCTTTTGATACCGCACTGGTGGGCATGCCAATGATGGTCTTGATGAAAAGGGGATGATTGGCATGGTCTCCATTGGAGATGTGGTTCGTGTTATGGTGCGTACCAACAAGAGGTTGAGCGTTTGAATGCTTTCATACAAGGAAGTTATTTATAATAAAAAATCCCTGAAGGGCACTCAAGCTAATTTGGATTAAGTAATAATCCTGAGGGCAACACTTCAAAATATCACATAAAAAAAGAGAAAATACAAAAATAAAGTAAAGATCACACCAAACGCACAATTAATCCCTAATCCAATAGAAGGTAAATCAAATCTATCGCTGAAAACGCAGGACAAATCAAACAATTTGCACAGTAGTGTTTTTTAAATTAGCTGAGTAATATTTTGTCTACGTTCTTTCAATCTCATATATCATGTTTTGTTTTCAATGGTAACAGGTGGTTGAGTTGTTTACAAAGTGGAGCTTAATAGAAGCGGTAATACTGGTAAGAGTGATTTTATTGCTGCTGGCTACAAGGTTAAGCACCTTTTCGCTACGTTGTTTCCTCTGTCTCGGTGAGAAATGGCCCTATATCAACAACTTCTCAACCATATCTTTGGAGAAAAGAGAAAAATTTATGCACGAGTGGCTGAAGCATAGGTTCTTTCCTCACACCTAGTAGAATGGCATTTGATTATACCAAAGTCTTGTGCCTCTCTGCTTTTTTTCTCTTGGGTAGTATGCCTTTGTCCAAAGTTCTCTTATTAATTGTTACTTGTCATCTGCACAAAATGAATTCATGTAAAATTATATAACATGCTAAATGTTATGCACTAGTTTTTGGGTCTGGTTGTGGTGGAGGTGTCGCAGCTGTTGTTCTTTCAAGTGCTGGCCACAAGGTGGTTGTTCTTGAGAAAGGAAACCATTTTGGTCGTCAGATTATTCATCCCTCGAATGGCCTTCCATGAATCAACTATATGAAACTGCAGGGTCCTTGCTTCTGCGGACTCCAGAATACTGGTTTTGGCAGGATGAAGGTGGTGGCTCTGCTATTATTTGGTCAGCCTGCATTAAAGCACCACAGAAGGTGCTGAAAGAGTGATCTGAGGACCACAAGGTTGCCTTCTCTTCAAGCCAAGAATATCTCTCTGCAATGGAAACTGTATGTGACAGAATTGGAGTCACTGAAACTAAGAGGGATTCCAAAATCAAGTGCTAAGAAAAGGGTCTCAAAATCTTGGCCTCAAAGTTGACTATGTGCCAAGAAACTCTTCATGGAATCATTACTGTGGTTCATGTGGTTATGGCTGTCCGATAGGAGAGAAACAAGGGACTCAAACTACTTGGCTTGTAGATGCAGTTGACAAAGATGCAGTAATAACAACAGGATGCAAGCAAAGCTGACAGGTTCTGGTTGGAAAGCAACAGGAGTGGAAATGGTAGAAAGAAGAAACGTTTGGGAGTTCTAGCAAAAGCATTAAACAGCAGAGTCACAATGAAGCTTCAAATTGAGGCTAACGTGACAATTTATTCCGGTGGAGCACTTATGACACCCCTTTTGTTAATATCCAGCGGACTAGAAATTAAGAACATTGGTAGGAATCTCCATCTCCACCCTGTCCGAATGACATGGGATACTTCCTAGAATCAAATAATTCAGAATTCAAGGCCAAAGGCTGTCCATAAAGTGCCATCAACAGACTCCAAATCAGATTCAAGAGCCATTATTGAAACCCCTTTTCTAGGACCAGCATCCTTTGCTACATTGTGCTCTAGGGTGTCAGGACTAGACTTTAAAGAAAGAATGCTGATTACCCTGGAACTCCTCATTCAGAAAGAAGGAAGGATCGGCTACAAGTTGAACGAATTGACAGAGAGAACATGAAAATAGTATTATTAGTTTATGTCGATAAAGTTTTTTTTTTATAAATACTTTCGGAAAAAGAAAATAAGAAGATAAAATATTATATTATTTTCTAAAAATTAAATTTAGCTTACATATAAATAATGTATAAAAACTATATCTTATTAATATCATATAAATTAGTTTTAACTTTTAAAAATACTTTTTTGATTTTTTTTCTCTTATTTTCTTCTGTAACAGACAAATCCATACTTTGAGATCGAAAGTATATAGCTTTGATTCTTCTGTGGAAAGCGTTATGAGAAATTGTGGCTTGAAAAAACTGGTTTATTTCACAGTTCTCTTTTCTATGTTTCTTCCTAATTTTCTTCATCTTTATTTATATATTTCTTTGCTATGTTTAATTCATGGATTTTAAGCTCATAGAAAGCATTAATCAGAGTTTTTTAGGGGTATCGATAATTATAATTTTCCAATGTACTTGTTTTTCAATAGGTTAAAATTTATTATCGATGATAGCATTACGAAGAAGCAAGAGTTCAAAGAGCAAGTTAAACTATAACTCATTATATATAAATTAAACAAGAAAACAAACAAATCAGCAGAAGCGATTTTCCATAATTTTTACAAATTCAATGAAATCAATTCTTCCATCTTGATTTGTATCAAAGATCCTGATCATCTTGTGGCAGTTCTCAAGTTTTGCTGCTTCCTTCAATCCCAAAATACACAAAACTCTCTGCAACTCCTTAGCATCAATAAACCCATCTTTGTTCTCATCAAAAACATCAAAAGCCTGTTTCACCTCCTCCAGACTTGGCTCCTGCTCCTCAAACAGTTCAGAAAGCTCCTTGGAACCATACTTTTCCTGAAGTTCCTCACTTTCTGAGCTGCAAAAAAATCCAAGTTTTGCCATCATCATTTTAACCTCATCCCTCACAAGATAATTCTCGCTATCTATGCTTCCCTTTGATTCATTCTCTTGGAGGTTAAACTCATGCTTTGATACCTGCTCTTCTTCGCTCACCTTTGAGTAATTAGAATGAAGTTGGCACAGAAGGAAAAACCAGAAACTAAAGAAAAAACTCTGGATTTTGTAGAACCATGTGTAGTACAAGGAAAGTTCTACCGAACCAAATAAGGGAGAATTTGAGTTGCCAGCACTCTGAGATGCCCCCCCCTCTGAAATAACGAAGTCAATTCCTCTAAGAACCATGACTGCAGATTTGTGCAAGTATAGATGAAGAGGTAGTAGAATTCTGTGATCCCTTGTGTAATAAGGGGCTGAAATTGTTATTGTTAAGTTGTTAGTTAGCCTATGTGAAGATGAGAAATGTTGTTGTGGATGTTGTTTGAGGCTGTCTGGACGGTCTTTTATAATATAATTCAAAAGTTGGAACATTGAAGCAGCCAGGATGGTCAGCTTTGAAAGATGGGGAAGGTGCTTGACAAGTTCATTTGTAAAGAAAGTGCTAGAATTCAGTATGGTTATTTCCTGACAGCATCAAAGGAAATTTCCTGTTTCCTTATTCCAACATGCATGGATTTTTTTCTTAGGTTGATGTGGTCTTTCAGAGAAAGCAAAATCAGGCTGGCCTGCTTTGTCTTTGTCTTACTTCATTCTATCTATATTATAAATGTATTTATTGCAAGACTTTCGGGCAGGTTTTTTGGGTCAAAGACAAATGCAGAAAAGACAAAATGTTCAGCAGTTTCCAAGAAGTGAGTGAACACTACGTGCCTCGCATTGTGCTGTGTATCACATTTCCACTTCTTGGATATTAATAATATATATTAAATGTGATTTATTCCCTTTTATGAATTTAATTATGATAATTTTTAATGTAAATAAAATTATACAATCAATTCTTTTTTTTTTTTCATAATAATAGTTATATATTAAAATCAACTTGTTTAACAAATATGATACTGTATAAAAAAATTGTTTTTATTTATTTATATTATACGTCTAGCTTTTGAATGGTGCAGTGTGAAATTAGCATTCCGCTAAGTCGTGCAAATTCGCCACGTCAACTTTTGTAGACACCAACTTAGTTACGTCACTGTGTTTAAAGGATTTTATAATCTTATTGGTTTCTTTACATTATTAATCGTTAGGTCATTGTGTAAATTTCTATGCAATGTTCCTTGTAATCTTCTCATCCATTTACTATTCCATGACTCTTCCAATTTTATTAATTTCATCTCGTGGTCTTTCTCGTATTGGCACCACTGGTTATTAGACCATTTCTTTTTTATTAGTGCTATCGAATTGGTAAATTGGAGAGAAAGAGGTGTTGTATTTAAAAAGAAGAAAAAAAAAAGTTGTTCAAGCAAATTGTAGTTTCTCCAATATTCAACACCATTTTTCGTGGTGCAAGTTTTCTAGGCAAAGCATTTTCTATGAAATTGGTGCGTTTACTTTTACCAAAGGTTAGACTATTGGGAGAAACTAGAAGACCAGAAAACCATCTAACCTTTTTACACTTTCCCTTCCTCAGTGGGAACAAATGTTAAATCCAATGTCAAACAATCCTTCATTTGAGTGCCTTGTGCTCGTAAGTAACTTGTCTGTAGGTTTTTCAGTGTGAAACCATTAGAGATGATAATTAAACCTACCTAAATTATGAGGAATGATTCATCATTTTTTTAGAAAGTCTCCTATATATTTTCGTGATATGTTTTAAATTCTTGTTAAACTACCTTAGATATTAACGATTGATTATATGTTGGAAGTTTAAGATAGTATTAAAGTTAAAATTTAATTTTTTTATTATTATTTTGATCTATTAGTTGTCATTTCATTAAATGAAAAGTATCATTGATGTTTTTAGTTAAAAATTATTCTTAAAATATCTTTTGTTTAGTTTGATAAACTTCATTAAAATCTTAACAATTTCATCTAGAATTTAATGAGTAAAAAAGTAAGTTATTTAAATGTCTTCGTTCCAATTTAATATTTAAATTTAAATTTTAAAATATCAATTTTTTTATCATATTTCAATTTATTTTTTAAATTATATATAAAGTTATTTCTTCAATATTTATACTCGTTATTTTTCTTGTATGACTTTAAGTTTTCTGCCTTTTCTAATTTTTTTAACAAATCAATTTATTACATTGTTCATTTTTTTTACCTTCCACTCCTTCATGTTTTCTTAATTTTTTAATCAATTTGTTTTTTTTTCAATCTATTTAATAAATTTGATAAATATAAAATTATTTTTTCTTCCTTGTTTTTTTTTAATATTTTACATGAATTTTATTAGTAATTTTTTACTATTATTTTATTTCAAATTTATCATTATTAAATTTTATTGTGTCATATTTTTTGAATTTTATTATTCCTATTTGTTATATATTAAATTTATCTTAATAAAATAATTATATTTTGAATGATTAAAAAGAATTAATAGTTAAATTTTTTATTAATTTATACTAATTAAATAATAACTAACTTATTAAATATTTGTTTATAAATTATATATTTCATATTTATTAATATTTTAAAATAACAACTTAAAAAATATATAATTTATATATATAATAAAAAAATTAAATATAAGGTTATAATATATAATAATAATAATATAAATATTTTATATAAGTATAAAAAATGATTAAAATATTATATATATATATATATTAATAAAAATATAATAAATTAAAAATATACTTATTAATAATAATGATAAAATTATAATATTTATTTATATATAAAATACATTAAATTTATTAAAATTAATTTATATAATTTATAAATAATATAGAATAAAAACAAATTGAGACAAAGAAACTTGAAACTAAACAAAAACAATAATAAAAATTTAATTTCTAATATTAACAAAGATCGGGAAGACGAAGAGACTTAAGAAAGTTGGAATCAATGAGGCAAAACTCCCCTGGTTGGTATATGTTTCTCATGTGGGAAACCTAAATTAGTGCAATGAATTTCTCTGAAACTGAAATGTGTAGATATTTTTTCTTTTTTTATCTTTTTCGAACCTAGTTTTCTTATCTTGTGCAAGACACATGTTAAGAAGTTACTACTGACGAAGGGACATGTTTTGACTTTATATATATATATGACAGTGATAGCATGGAGGTTAGGAAATAGGAACACCAAATTAACTATCCAAATTCCTCACTTATTAGTTGAACCAAACTTGTTGACTTGGAGTCATATGAGGTTAGTGTCTATACCATCATTATAAAATAATTTATGCTAATTTTTTTTTCTATACTATCGATGGTCAGTTCAACGATTATTTAGGTATAGAATAAAATTTAAAATGAGATTTCTTTAAAGATAGTTAACTATCTGATAACTAGTGAAAAAAAAAAAAAAATATATATATATATATATATATATATATATATATATATATATATATATATATATATATATATATATATATATTCACCAGCAGGTCAGATTGGACGGGTGAGGCCATCAATCCACGGTTTGGTATTTTGAATCCATTAATCCTGTTCTGCTCCGCCATGTTAACCTCGCAAATATGTTGGATAAGTTTATAATTTGTCTAATTAATAAAAAAAATTTATGATAATACAGTAAATCATAAAAATAATATATAAAATTAAAAATTATAAAAAAAGAATTAAAAGAAGTATTCCTCCCATTCTTATTAGAAGATATATTTTCCTTATTCAAACACAAATTCTTTTCTATTTTTTTTTATTGTTCATTGTATCTTTCTAATTAATTCTGATTTTTTTATTCTTATGATTTGAATTAAAGATGTAAGAATTACTAAAAAAAATAATGTGAAATTTTATCAAATAAAAAAAATAAGTATTTAAAATTTTCAAAATAAAAAATATAAATTTTACAAGTTTTGATATTATTTATATATATTTGTTATTATTTATTATTATATAAATTTTATTATTATTCTAAATTATAATTTCTTAAAACATTATGTTGATTTATATTATTAACTTAATATATATATATATATTGAATTATTGATAAATAAATTATAATATTATTATTAAATTTATTAAAAAATTTGATTTAAAAAAATTAATTAATTTTTTTAAAATTATGACGAGCCAACCTATCAATCGCTTTTTGACAAGACGGATTAAGGTCCATTTTTTACGGATCAAAAATAAGATGGACTAAAACGAAACAGACTAACAATTTTGTGATCTCTATTCACAAATAGAAAACTTAGGTGATTATTATTGAATTTAACTCTTATATATATATATAGGTTAAATAAGTAATTTAATCCCTTTATTTTTTAAGATGTTTCAATGTGGTCCCAAAAATTTTAAAATTTTCAATTTAGACATGAATATTGAAATTGATGTCAAATTTGGACTACTGTCATTTATGTTTTGACTTTGTTATATTAGATGCCTAGTTGGAGTATCAGTTTTGATGTGGTTAGGTGATTGGTTATAGTTACGTGACAGATTTGTCATGTCACATTAAAATTGCAGGAAGAAAGGAATATGGGTCGCAAATATGTTTAGAGTATGAACAATTGAGAGTTTGTGCAAATGGGTTAGGAAAAGCATGAGAATCTGCAATGTTGTCGAGGAGGTACGAGTTCCATTTGTGACGAAGGAGGAGGAGGGTGATTCTATTTTGGGTTTGCTACGACAACGAGGGTCGCTTATCACCGTTCCTCTCTCGTCACCGTCGTTCCTTTCCAATGGGTCGCAGATAGTCCCTCTCGCGTGCTCGACTTCGCCATTGTCGCATTGTCGCATATAGTCCTCGATGATGTTGTTGCAAGCCCTAAATGGAACCAACATTCTCCCCCTTCGTCACAGTCAATCTCACATACGACGACGATTAGAACCCTAAACTCTCACTGTCGTCACAAATGTAACTCTCACCTCCCCTATCGTTGCAAATCCTCTCACTTTTCCTCACTCATTTGCACAAACTCTCAAATCCTAAATACATCAGCGGACCTGTTAGTATTATGGTGCTTGATTTAGTCCCACATCGATTAGGATTGTGAGATGAGGTTCTCTATTTTGTTATATAAGCAACCCTATGTAAAGTTTGAGATACACACAGAAAAAAAAAACTTCCTAGTGTAGTCGTGGACGTAGGCATACATATTTTAGCCGAACCACGTTAAAATTCTTGTGTCGTTTATTTTTCTCTCCTTTATTCTTTCCTTTATTATTGTCTTGTTCCTAACAATTGGTATCAGAGCCAATTTTCTTAGTATGCTCTGTGGTTGCAGCTTTGTCTGATCTTCCACATCAGAAAAGATTTGGTCTTTTTTCTTGGGAATCTCGGTTTAGAGAAGCAGTGGGAGCTTTCTTCGAAAGCGGTGAGAGCAATGGCATTGGAAGAAGGAAAGGTGAGGATCGAGAAGTTCGATGGCGGTGACTTCGGGTTCGGAAGATGCGAGATGGAAGATTATCCGTATCGGAAGAAGTTGTATCTACCCTTGACAGGCGGAAGCCAACCGACATGGAGCGATCGAATGGGAGTTGTTAGATCGGCAGACGCTTGGTGTGATCCGGTGACATTAGCCAAGAATGTTGCGTTCAACATCATGAACGAGAAGACAACCGTAGATTTGATGCGAGCGTTGTCAAATATGTATGAGAAGCCCTCTGCAGCCAATAAAGTGCATTTGATTCGCGAGGCTAGTCAACCTCAAAATGGGTGAAGGTAACTCGGTTACTAATCATATTAGTGAATTTAATGCAATTATTGCGCAGTTGACATCAGTGCGGATAATATTTGATGATGAGGTGAAAGCATTAATTTTATTATCATCTCTACCGGAAAGTTGGGGTGCAACTGCTATCTGCAGTTAGTAATTACGCAAGCAATAACAAGTTGAAGCTTGATAACATCCGTGACTTGATCTTAAGCGAAGATGTTCGCAGGAAAAATTCGAGTAGAATCTTTCGGTTCTAATTCGAGTTCGAGCATTGAGTGCTGAAACTAGAGGAAGAAGTCGCCGTAAAGGTCGTAATCAAGGCCGAGGCGAGATCAAAATCCAGAGGGAGATCACAAGCAAAAGTCCGAATGATATCACTTGTTGGAATTGTCGAGAAAAAGGGCCACTTTTCAAATCGAGTGTAGGGCTCCAAAGAAGGACAACAACAACAACAAGAAGCAAGATGATGATCAATCGACAAATGCAACGAATCGATGAAGTTGAAGATGCACTCGTTATGTAGTTTAGATAATTCTATTGACTCATGGATTATGGACTCAGAGTGCGTCATTTCATACTACACCTTCCTTAGAACTATTATCTAACTATGTTTCTAGAAAGTTTGGGAAGGTCTACCTTGCGGATGGAAAATCTCTTGATATCATAGGAAGAGGTGATATTAACATCGGAACCTCTAATGGAAACGTGTGGACTTTGAATAATGTCGGACATATTCCAACCTTAAAGAGAAACTTAATATCTATAGGGCAGTTGGATGATGAGGGACATTACACCACTTTTGGAGATGGACATTGGAAGGTAATGAAAGGTAATCTTGTTGTTGCTCGTGGAAAGAAGCAAGGATCTCTCTACATGATTGCGGATGAGGATATGATATCGCTTGCGAAGTTGGCAACAATTCCTCCTTATGGCATCGAGGCTTGGGCATATGAGTGAGAAAGGAATGAAGCTCATGATATCAAAAGGTAAAATACCTAACGTGAAGCATGTTGACGTTGGACCTTGCGAACATTGTATCTTTGGAAAGCGGAAAAATGTTAGCTTCTCCAAAACAAGTAAGTCGTCTAAAGTTGAAAGACTAGAACTAGTGCATACGGATGTTTGGGGGCCGGCTTCAGTGAAATCCCTTGGAGGTTCACAATATTATGTAACCTTCATTGATGACTCTACAAGAAAGGTATGGGTTTATTTTCTTAAAAATAAATCCGATGTGTTTTCCGTGTTTAAAAGGTGGAAAAAGGAGGTTGAGACTCAAACAGGTTTAAAGGTCAAATGTTTGAAGTCCGATAATGGTGGAGAATATGACGAGTAGTCAATTCAAGGAGTTTTGTTCGGAGAATGGGATCGAATGATCAAGACAGCTCCAGGAACACCGGAACAAAACGGTGTGGCGAAAAGAATGAACGATAACCTTGAATGAGAGAGCAAGATGTATGAGAATCCAATCAGGATTACCCAAGGTATTTTGGGCGGATGCAATAAGCACAGCAACTTATCTCATAAACGAGAGGACCATCAGTTCCTTTAGACTATAAGTTACCCGAAGAAGTATGGTCCGGAAAAGAGGTAAATCTTTCACATCCGAAAGCTTTTGGTTGTGCTTCATATGTTATGTTAGACTCTAATAGTAGAGATAAATTGGACCCTAAGGCAAAACGTTGTTATTTCATTGGTTATGGATCTGACATGTTTGGCTACAGTGTTTTGGGATGACCAAAACAAGAAAATTATCGAAGTAGAAATGTTACTTTTAATGAAAACATGTTCTATAGAGACAGGATTGCAGAATCTGCAAATGTAAATAAACAACTAGAGCAAGTATCATTAGAAGAAATTTCGTAAAGTGATGTAGTCAACCGAAGGCGTAATATACAAGTAGAGCCTATGTCGAGCTCCGAGATGTAACCCGAACAAATAGTAGAGTCAGCAACTCCCGAAATCTTGGTTAGAAGATCTAGCGTAACAATTGTAGCACCACAAAGGTATTCCCCTTCATTGCATTATTTGTTGTTGATCGATGCTCGGTGAGCCGAGCATTTTGTCGAGGCTATGCGAGGAGATGAATCTATTAAGTGGGAGCTAGCAATGGAAGATGAGATAAAGTCCCTTCGGAAGAATAAAACATGGTCTTTAACCAAGCTACCGGAAGGAAAGAAAGTTTTGCAAAACAGGTGGGTCTATAGGTTGAAAGAAGAACCGGATGGCAGCAAAAGATATAAGGCTAGACTCGTAGTGAAAGGGTTCCAACAAAGACAAGGAATTGACTTCACAAAAATTTTCTCTCCCGTTGTCAAGATGACTACCATCGAGTTATCTTGAGTATAGTAGACTGCAGAAAATCTTCATTT